CTCAGGCTCAAGAGTGCTGGGATGGCAGGCATGTGCCATCACACTCAGCAGAAAATAGAATCTGAGAAGTCCCATGAGCTGTGTCTACTTGAAATACGTGTGCAAATGCATGTGTGTGTATGCAAATGTATATATGTATGCATGTGCATATGGGGTAGTGATTCAGAGTTTTGCCTTCACCAAGCTCAAACTGAACCGCAAAGAGATCCCAGGAATAAAATCATAACCCTTCACCCCTTTGCACAAGCAGTGAGGGCTTTTAGCATCTCTACAGATTAGCAATTTAGGCAAGATGGCTATCTAGCTGGAGCTGGTTTCCCGGACTTGTATGGGACCAGCTAGCAAGTGCTTTCCTTCTGCTCTAGGCCTCTGGGAGTTCTGCACTGCCTGGGTTCAAATCCTGGGTAGGCCACTTCCTAACTGTGATCTTGAGAGATCACAGGTCTCTGAGGTTTAGTGTTCCTCTGTGAAGAGTGGGAACTATTGTTCAGGGCCAAGTATACTTCCAGGGTCAGGGTGAGGGTGCCCAAGTCAGTGCACATGGCAATCTGGGAACAGCACCTGGCTTTAGGCCACACCTCAGGAAGTATCAGCTGCAGTGACCATGGAGAATGAATGACTGGCCCACACTGCAGGTAGCTGGATAGTTTATCCTGCATTTATTTGCATATTGATAGATATCTATTAAGAGCCTGGACGGGGCTCATGGTTAGCAGTGGACAAACACAGAACCTGCCTTTGTGGAGATGACCCTCACTGCATCTTCTACAAAAGCAGCTTTCTGCAGGACCCACAGCCTACCCAGACCTTGGTTTCTTCCTCTGTATAGTGGGGAGCTGTCTTTGTCCTCTGTGTCTCCAGGCACAGAGGTTGGAGTAGGGGTATGACTTCCTAAGATCGTTGTCCCATTATTCCACAGTGGTGTTACCAGCCTCTTTCATCCAGGAAACTCACCATGGCCAGGGGCAACCAAGCAAGGGTTGAAAACTCTCAAAAGCCCCTTTGCACATGTGATGGTGAGGAAGGCTTCAACTCTATCACTCATCTCTATCACTCATTCCAGGACATAAAGGACAAATGAAGAACTGTTGGAGGTATTAACAGTATGACCACAAGGTGGCACCACTTCCAAGCCCAGTCTTAAATATAAACTTTTTTGTTTTGTTTTGTTTTCCCCCAAAGATTGAGCTTCTCTGTGTAGCCCTGGATGTCCTGGAATTCTCTGTCCTTGAACTTAGAGATCCTTCTGCCTCAGCCTCCTGAGTGTTGGCATTAAAGGCCATGCACCACTATGGTCCAGCTAAAAACAAACATTTAATTATAGCGTAGTGCATATCATAATATAACAAACATGCATGGAGAATTGCAGGTCACCTAGAATGAGAAAGTGTTATAATGATGAGGTTTTGGGGGCTGGAGAGATGACTCAGTAGTTAAGAGCACTGGTTGTTCTTTCAGAGGATCCAGGTTCAATTTCCAGCACCCACATGGTGGCTCACAATTGTCTGGAACTCTAGTTCCAGGAGATCTGATGACCTCTTCTGGCATTCCCGGACACTGCATTATGTGGTGCACATACATACCTGCAGGCAAAAATACCCATACAAATAAAACGATCATGATTTCTTCGTAAAATGTGAAGGGCATCACCTATTTTAGAAAATAAAAACTAAAGCAAGGATATATTCTATCTCCCTGCTTGTGCATCTAAAATTTACCAGGCTTCTATGCTGAGAGGCTCAAACATGTGTCCCACTCACATCTCTACTACCCGATATCAAAGCATGGAGAACTGAAGAGTATCCTGCAGCCAGTCATTGTAATGATGCCTGCAACCCAGTACTCAGAAAACTGAGAAGGAAGACATAAAATCTGAGGCTAGCCTGGGCTATGTAATGAGGCTGTGATGGTTTGAATAGAAATGACCTCAATGGACCCATAGGGAGTGGCACTACTAGGCGGTGCGGCCTTCCTGGAGTAGGTATGGCTTTGCTGGAGGAAGTATGTCACGGGGGGGGGGGGGCAGGCTTTGAGGTGTCAGATGCTTAAGCCTGGCCAGTGTGTCACTGTGTCTTCCTGCCGCCTGCGGGTCCAGATGTGGAACTCTCCGCTGCCTCTTTAGCACCGTGTCTGCCTGCACGCTGCCATGCTTCTTGCCATGACAATAATGGTCTAAACCTCTGAAACTGTAAGCCAGCCCCTACTAAATATTTTCCTTTATAAGAGTTGCCATGATTATGGCGTTTCTTCACAGCAATAGAAGTCGTAACTAAGACAGGCCCTGTCTCAAACAAACAAACAAAACCATATGCATACAAACAAGATCCACGAAGAGGAAATAGCTGTGAGAAGACAGATGATGACTTGTGTTTGTGCTCCATCCCTGGGACCCCTATGGTAAGCACGAACTCCTGGAAGTTGTCCTCTGTCCTCCTACACACACACACACACACACACACACACACCCTAAGTCTTTTTGTCCTGCCAATTAGCTCCCAAATAATGACATGGAGACTTTAATTATGAAAGCTTGGTCTAAGGCGGGCGTTGGTGGCACACGCCTTTAATCCCAGCACTCAGGAGGCAGAGGCAGGCAGATCTCTGTGAGTTCGAGGCCAGCCTGGTCTACAGAGTGAGTTCCAGGACAGCCTCCAAAACAATACAGAGAAACCCTGTCTCGAAAAACAAAAACAAAAACAAACAAACAAACAAAAAAGCTTGGTCTATAGCTTAGGCTTGTTCGTAACTAGCTCTTTTAAATTACCCACTTAATCTATCACGTGGTGTTATCTCTCTTCCATCTTGTACCTCCTGCTTCCCCCCTGTGTCTCCTAGCATCTCCTGTGCACCTGTATTTCTCCTTCTCCTCTTCCTTTCTCTCCCTGGAAGTCCCGCCTCTATCTCCTGCCTAGCTATTGGCCATTCAACTTTTTACACCAATCACAGCAATACATCTTCACATAGTGCATAAATAACCCAACACACACACACACACACACACACACACACACACACACACAAGAAAATCAAAACAAACTCTTTTCTAGGGGCCTAGAGAAATGTCTTACTGGTTAAGAGCACTGGCTGTTTTTCCAGAGACCCTATGTTTGATTCCCAGCATCCACATAGTGGCTCACAATCATTTGTAACTCCAGTTCTAGGGGATCTGATGCCCTCTTCTGGCCTCCACAGGCATCAGACATACAAGCAGGCAAACAGTCGTAGGCAGGGAAACAAACAAACAACCTTCGTTAGCCTTACAGATCAAATAACAGATCATGATTATGTACCAGGGTTCCTGGACTTCAAATGTATCTACTGCTGCTCATGCTAGGCATTCCTGGGCTATTAGAGGCACCTTGAGGTGGAAGCCCAATGGGGAACACAGAGGCCCACAGCATTAACACAGCACAGCCAAGCTGTCGCATCACATAGTGTCATTCACTCTGCCTTGCTGAGTATCAGACATCAATTTCTGCTAACGGTGGCTGAGGGATAAAGGGGACGCCAAAGGGTCAGGGGACACTGACCCTGAATGTGCAGAACTACTGAGTAGTGACTCTGGGATCTCACGGTGGTCTCTGACTCGCCATCCAAGGGAGACTTTCCTTTCCTCAGGCCAAGTAGTATGGAGTGGGGGAGCAGGGAGGAGCGGGCTTTTGCCTGCTGCTGCTGACTCCACCCAGTGAGCTCTGAGCTCCATAGCTCCACACCACTCAAGGGGTGGGTGGCTGGGCACTGCTGACTCAGGCTGCAGGCATCTGGACCACCTGCTCTGGCCTCCTCTTGCCTTGGGCACCTGGCAGATCTGAGCCCCGTTTCCCACTTGATTGCTTCGTGCTGGTGACTTCTGCAGAGGCTCTTGACCTCTCTGAGCCTCGTTTTATCGTCTTAACATCTCTTTTTGGCTTTATGGTCGGGGTAGGAAATCTTTTTTGGAGACAGGGTTTCTCTGTATTGCTTTGGAGGTTGTCCTGAAGCTCGTTCTGTAGACCAGGCTGGTTTCGAACTCACAGAGATCCACCTGCCTCTGCCTCCCGAGTGCTGGGATTAAAGGAGTGCGCCTCCAACGCCCGGTGCAGTGGGCCCTTTTAAGTGGGAGGTATTTCTATTTTGGAAAAGACATCCACCGGACTCTCTTCATAATGCTATATGTTTTCTTTTCTTTTCCCGATAGAAATGGCCACTTTGTTTCCTTCTGCTAGAACGGAAGTTCGCAGATGGGAAGCATCATTTGATGTAGTGTCCGGATTGGCCAGAGCTGTACTTGGTACCTACTAGGTGCGAAGCAAATTTTGCCATCACTAGGAGGCGCTATGTCCTGTCCCTCTGTGACTATCCTTCCAATGGCGTGGAGATTCCCAAATCCCTCACAGTGAGACTTGGAGCTCCAACAAGCCAGGAGGGATCTTCATGAATGGGACTCAGTACTGTTGGTGAAGAAAGGCAGAAATTATTTACCCATTGTATAGATCCAGCAACTGAGGCCCAGAGGGGTGTCGAACGCCTTGCTCGGTATTTCCCGGGGGACTCCCCTTGAAAGCCTGGACTCTCACAGTGAGTGGCCGGACCCCACCAAGGAGCAGTCTCCGGGTACATACAGGTCACATCCCGCTCCCTTGAGTTCTTCCTGCGCCATCACCACGTGTGGGCAGGGGAACCGCAGGCGGAGGTGTGGGGGCTGCAGGCTTCCAGGAGCGTTCGGAGCATCTTCTCCAGGCCTAAGGTACCGAGACCCAACTCGCCTGCCAGAGGGGCTCGACTCTGCCCGCCCACCGCGGGGCGGGGCGCACGCTCGGGGATGGGGATCGCGGGTGACTGAAGCGTCGCGGGCTCCTGTGAGCGTCTCCCCGGCTCGGGAGCCCCTTGCCCCGCCGCGCCGCCAGCCGCCGCCTGTGTTCTGCAGCCCAGCGGCGCTTGCCGCAGTCGCCGGCAGCGGATCAGTCAGTCGCGAGCGCCCAGGTAGGGAGGGCGGGCGGGAGGCAGCCAGGCGAGCCGGCGCGACCGGGAAGGCGGAGCGCGACGCTGCACTCCTCTGCCAAGCCGCTCACCCCGGCCCAGTCTGGCCTGGCCCGGCCCGCGGCCTCCAGTACCCCGAATTCCGCGGTGCCAGTGGGCGAAAAGAGACCTGTCTTCTGCGCCTGGGCTTCGCTCCAGCTTCCGGGCCATCCCTTTGAGACCACCCCACCACGAGCGACAGCTTGAGATCTAGCGTGCGCACACGCCCACCCTCCCCAGAGAGCCTGCCCCGGCCGGAGAGCGCGAGTTCGCCTCCTGCTCCCATCTCCCCAGCCGTGCCTCTGGCCAGGAGCCCCACCCCCATTTTATGCTATCCCAGGGCTCTCTCTTCCAACGCCAACCTAACTTTAATTGACTCGGCGCATCAGGTACCCCTCCCCAAACTTGTTACCCGAGTTCTCCAGGTGGTCCCACCGTTGGAGACATTCCTGCAAGCCCTCCGTGACCTCTTCTAATCGCTACTTGGTGACCTAAGGACTCCGTTTTGTTACATACTCCTCCAGGGCGCAGTTTTTACCCAGCTTCCTTCCTCTTCATTCTATCCCCGCGTCCACCATATCCCATCCTGGTCCTCAACCCTAGTCCCCATGGTCCCAGAGCCTGGCCCTGTCAACATTAGCATCCCAGCCTGGGGGCCCGGGCCACCGCCTGCCCCAGGGGGAAGCGTCTGGGTGGCCACCGCGCTGTGTGTGGTCATCGTGCTGACAGCGGCCGCCAATTCTCTGCTGATCGTACTCATCTGCACGCAGCCCGCGCTGCGCAACACGTCTAACTTCTTTCTGGTGTCGCTCTTCACGTCGGACCTGATGGTGGGGTTGGTGGTGATGCCACCGGCCATGCTGAACGCGCTGTATGGGCGCTGGGTGCTAGCGCGCGGCCTCTGCCTGGTTTGGACCGCCTTCGACGTGATGTGCTGCAGCGCCTCCATCCTCAACCTCTGCCTCATCAGCCTGGACCGCTACCTGCTCATCCTCTCGCCTCTGCGCTACAAGCTGCGCATGACAGCTCCGCGTGCCTTGGCGCTCATCCTGGGTGCCTGGAGCCTCGCGGCGCTTGCCTCCTTTCTGCCCCTGTTGCTGGGTTGGCACAAACTGGGCAACTCTCGGACACCTGCCCCCCGCCAGTGCCGCCTATTGCCCAGCCTGCCTTATGTTCTCGTGGCTTCTGGAGTTACCTTTTTCCTGCCTTCAGGTGCCATCTGCTTCACCTACTGCAGGATCCTGCTGGCCGCCCGCAAGCAGGCGGTGCAAGTGGCTTCGCTCACCACGGGCATGACTGGCCAGGCCTTGGAGACCTTGCAGGTACCAGGGGTGTGTTTTGGAGACCTGGGCTCTTGGGATGGGAAGGAATTGGGAATCCACTGGTTGACTGCCTCATAGTAAGCCCTTACAGCTGGTCCCATAAGGCCTTGTGGCTCTGCCTTTCAAACTGTGACTGTGGTGGGTTAGCTGCTATATCCGGGTATGGAGGAGGAAGCTGGCATACTCCTCCATGACAGGCCCCATCGTGTATCGCATGTGGGGAACTTAGAGAGCACCCTCTCTCCCTCGGATTCACACTCCTTTCTCAGGGCCTGTTGGTCCTGCCTACTGGTCTAAGCACACCCCCGCGGCTGTCTCCCTAGTCTAATCCACTGTCACTTCTCACCAGGGACTCTGGCTGGCCCCCACTTCGGTCCGCTTTCCCAACTGGAGCCAGTGTGAGTGAAACTAAAGTGGATGTGTTGCTTTCCTTCTACAAACCTTACCTAGCTCACTATAAGGAGAAAACCCATCTCAGAACGTGGCCTGAGGATCCTTCCAGGCCAAGCTCCATCCTCCCTCTCTCCTCTCTCCCTCTCTGTCTCCCTCTCCTCTGCTTGCTCTGCACCAGCCCCAGGGCCATGACGACAGTCCTCAAAGTTGCCCAGCTTAATTCTGTGCGCCAAGGTTTTGGCTTTTACTTTGAGATAGTCTCATGTAGTTTCGGCTGGCTTCAAACTCACTGTGTGGTTGAGGGTGAGCTTGAACTTGTGATTTTCCTGCCTCTGCCTCCCAAGTGCTGAGACTGCCGGTGTGAGCCACCCTGCCTGGCTGGAGTTCTGTGTTTGCTGTGCCTTCTGCCTGATTGCTTCGTGTGGAGCTGCGCTTGCCTCGAGCCCTCCCAGCCCACCTCTTCCAGGCTGACCCTGACTTTCTGATCTGCAGGCCCACCGCCTCCACGCTGCTATTGCCATCACAACCCCAAAATCGTTTGTTGATTTAGCCACTCTGGCTCTCCGGCTTGGGAGCTGTGTGAGGCCAGCTCAGTTCTGACCCCCAGTACACAGCTATGTAATAACAGTGAATAGGGCAGGGCCTTGCTCAAGCAAGGGCATCTGCTCTGACCATCTAGGCCATGCTGGGCTCCAGGCTGATGTCCACCCTACACTGACTAGACTTGAGCTTCTGAGACTTGGGTCTCTAAATGTAAGCCCCTGGCCAAAGTCTCACTTAGGCTCTGCAAGGACATCTCAGTGTAGCCTCAGGTGAAGGAGGTTCTTCCAGAGTGGTAGCCTTGGGGTCCTGCAGCAGTTTCCAAAATTCTAGAAATGACAGAAACATCTGGCTGCCTGGACAGTCACCCAAAATTCCTCTGCAACGTTGGGCCATCTATCTTCAGCCTACAGGCCTAGAGCATCCGGCAGACATTTCAGTGAAACAGGAACCCTGAAAGACTGTCCCATCTTGTTTAGCAGTCATTTTCTTGTGGGTCCTGCATGTCCAGTTTATATAGCATACAGTCAAGCAGTCCAGGAAAAAGTAGTTTCTTGACCAATTGGCTATAAAGAAAGCAAACTCCACATGGAGTTTCTTTGATGCCCATCATCTTCATTGAAGTAGATTGGTGCTGCCAGGAGCAGACGTGTCTCATTGTCATGAAAAGCCTCAGTTCTTAAAACATTTTAAATGCCACATTCTGTAGGTCTTTGAAGTATTTGAAGATTACCTATCCATCTGAAATATATTTCTGTATATCTAGAAAACCTAACTAACATGACTATAAGTTTGACTATTATAGATGATTATCTATTAATCTGTATTTCTTAATTATACATTGCATTTTAAATGAGTGGCATAAACATAGTACATTAAAGAAGAGTAGAAATACATACAAAATTGTCCTTAAATTTGTATCAATAAACCAAAATCCATGCCAATGTAAAGTATTCATTTCTATATCAGTCCTGGGCCTTCCACTCTTTCCTGAGAACTTTGATGGTTTTCTCTTTGTTTGTAAAGATTGACTTCGTTCTTGCTTGGGGAGTCGTGATTTCATTGACTTTCCCATTTGTTGACTTGAGGCTAAGAAGTGACAACTTCTGTTTCTCAGCTGTGTGAACTTCCTGGCCTCAAATGCAGGTGGCTTCTCCCAAGGAGTCCAGAAACTGAATGAGCTACAGTCAATGTTGGTGATGCAAGCAGATAATATATGATGTCTCTACACAGCAGGGGCTTGCTTCTTACTCAGCAAAGAGGTCAAGAGAGCTTGCTGCAGCATCATAACGACGGGGGACTGGATTCCGGCACCCACATAACAAGTTGGGCATCACTCCAGTGTGTTTGGTGCTGTGTCTAGGATTCAGTGCATGTGAGAGTGAGCATGCCAGCATACACACACACACACACACACACACACAGACACACACACACACAGACACACACAGAGACAGACACACACAGAGACAGACACACACACATAGACACAGACACACAGACTCACACAGACACACACACAGAGACAAAGGCACACACACAGACACACATACTCACACAGATACACACACAGAGACAAAGGCACACACACAGACACACACAGAGACAGACAGACACACACACACAGACTTACATGCACAGGCACATTCACATAGAAACAAAGACGTACAGACACAGATACACAGACAGACACACACAGACTCACATACGCAGACACATACACACAGAGACAAAGACACACAGACACATACACACACACATCTTTTTTAAAATGATAAGGGACTGGCCAGAAGGCTTAGCAGGCACTTGTCACCAACCCCAAGGACCCAAGTTTTATTCCTGTGACCCACAAGGTGGAAGGAAAAGAACCCACTCCCATTGTTGTCCTCTGATTTCCAACTGAGTGTCATGGCACATACATGGGCTGCTCCTGGCCACCCCACTGAGACCCTGTCCATGTCAGATGGCTTGTGTACACACACATACACACACACACACATACACACACACACACACACACACACAGAGAGAGAGAGAGAGAGAGAGAGAGAGAGAGAGAGAGAGAGAGAGAGAGAAAACAATATTAAGTACAAATGAAGCTCCTAGGTTCTTGAAGACTGGCCCAGGCTCTCGGTGGTGTACCACTGAGTGCTTCCCCCCACCTTGCTCTCCGAGACTTTGTAAAGGAAGAAGAATCACCTGGGGTGGGCACGTGTGCCTTCCTGTCTCTCCCACCCCACCCCCATCTCAGGTCTCTCAATTTGTGTCTATCTGGCATTTTCTTTGTACCCACATTTATCTTTTTGCTTCCATGAATATGTTCAGACAGAAAACTTCCTATTTCTTCCAGAAATGGAAAACCAGTGTCCCTTGCCATGGGCAATCCCAGGAAACACAAGTATGGGGATGTCAGAGTGGTCCCAGCAGTATCACTGAAGTGCTTTTGGTTTGTCTGCTGTGCTCAAACTCCGCATGAGTTCAGGGAGGGGGGTATTAAGAACATGCTGTCTCTTTCCGGAAGACAGTTTGTAGCTCATGCCCTGTGTTCATATTTTTAAATTTTGTTATTATGTGCTTGTGTATGAGCACACACACGTGTGTCATGATAGGCATGGAGGACAGATGACAATTTTCAGGACTCCACAGTCCCGGCAGGGCCCCCACATAGGTGTCCTTTGGATGAAGTGAGGTCAGCTGGTACCAGCATGGCACACGGTGACCTCAGGACCTGCATGGGAGCCTGTTACAGCCACATAACGTTGTCTTGAGCACTCCGTCAGGAACCAAGGCAAGCTTGGTGTCCAAAACACCCACTGAGTGTCTGTCTCTCCCTCGGCCCTGCTTCACAGTAGGGAAACTAAGGCCCAGAGAGAGCAGATTCCAAAAAGTAACACTAAATGCAGTGATCAGTGACATAATACCATGCCCCTTGCTGACTGTTTTCCAGGTCCTCCTGAGCCTTGATTGGCCAGTGTAGTCTGCACCATGGGGCTCTGATCTGGGTCCCTATTGTTCTCTTCCCACGCTTTCTCTGTAGTGGTTTTGTTTTGCCTCAGGCCTGGAAATACTGTGTACGAGCTGCCAGGCCAAGGCCTGCTCAAATACAGACAGAACTCTGAACTTCTCAGGTTCCAGACTTGACCCCCAGAGTCTTCTCCATGTCAGTGGATGGCGACCGCCTTTTTCTGGTCTCCCAGGCCAGGAGCTCTGGAAGCAGCCCGGATGCCTCTCTCACAGTGAATCCGGTCTCCCCTCTACCTGTGACACATGTCCAGGCTCTGGACACCTCGTATCTCTCCACTGCTGTCCTGGGGATGGGTCCCTTTATTGATGCCTGGGTTACTATAATAATCTTCTGACGGTCGTGTCATGTGTGCTGTGCTCTGTGCTTGGGACAGCTTTTGTCCCAAGACTCCCTGGCCTTTTTCTGTATTCCCTTCTCCCTCCCCTTGACTGCTCTTCCTCTTTCGGCCACATTGGCCTCCTTGCTACCCCTTGAGCATCAAGCACATTCCTGAGCTAGGACTGTCACACAGTCTGCTCCTTCTTTCCTTTCCACACGGTCCTTCTCCAACTTCTGTCATATCTTCTGGTTTCTTCTGTTCTCATGCTTCTGAATAGGAACTGCTACCCTCCCCAGACCCGATGCTGTCTCAGCAGCATCTGTAAACATCTTGATTGATTGATGGTGTCTTCTGAATAGGAAGCGAGCTGTAAGAGTGCAGGAGCTTGTCACGTTCACGGCTGCATTTTCAGCACCCAGAACTGTGCCAAGCCTAGCACAGCCACTCAGCCTGTGTTTATGGTGGGAAGGAAATGGACACGGAGGGTCTGGGGTTCCATCCTGGCTCACGCGGATGCTTATTCTCACCTCCTGCAGGCTCACTGTGTGCAATGAGTCCTTAAGCTTTTCATAACAGAAATCCATTAGCCCAATCAGTGACATGTGTTGAGTACCTACTGTTTGCAAGAGCTATATTTTGACTGTAGAGAGGTCCTGCCCTGCTTAAATTTATGCTGGTTGCAGAGATGGGTCAGCAGGAAGGGAGGAGGGTGAATCTTAGAAGAGGGGAGACCTCCGACAGCCATGTTCTATGTGTAGCTGAAGGCCTAGGCAGAGAAGTCACAGTGAACCCTGAAGCCAAAGGCTGGAGGATATTCCTTCTGTTCCCAAGGCCATCATCCTACCTTAGATTGGATGATCCACTGGGCTTTCAAGGCAGAGACATGTTTATCCCATCTCTCTCCTCCCAACAAACACCTGCTGGAAACCCTGTTTAGTCTCTCTGTCTCTGTCTCTCTCCATTTTTGCGGGGAGGGAAGAGATTGAAACAGAATCTCTCTATGTAGCCCTGGCTGGTCTGGAACTTACAGAGATCTGCCTGTCTCTGCCTTCCAAGTGCTGGGATCATAAGCATCTGTTACCATATCCAGCTTCTTTTAAAATCAGTGTGTGTGTGTGTGTGTGTGTGTGTGTGTGTGTGTGTGTGTGTGTGTGCACATGTGAATACAGGTGTCTTCGGAAGACAGAGGTGTTAAATTCCCTGGATCTGGAGCTACAAGCAGTAGTGAACCACCAGACGTGGGTGCTGAGAACTGAACCGGGGTCCTCTGCAAGGGCATGCCCTTAACTGCTGAACCACATTTCCATCTCCAAGCCTGTTCTCTTGCCTGGTGAGGCATCAGACCCTCCACTACCCTGCTTTCAAAGCCCCTTGGCTAAGGGGAGCCTTCTGTGTGCCCGTTTCCTGAGTGCCTGGATCCTGCATGCCTTTGGGGGGCTTGTGTGCGGTGTGGCACTCTTGCTCTGTCCCTTTGGGGTTTGTATCTGTTCCTCCTTCTGAGCTAGCGTATCTGGAAAGACAGCTCTCCCGGCATGGTGGTGCATGCCTTTAATCCTGGCACTCAAACTCGGGAGGCAGAAGCAGGTAGAGCTCTGAGTTTAAGGTCAGCCTGATTTATGTGGTAAGTTCCAGGCCAGCCAGAGCTACATAGTGACATCCTGTCTCAAAAAAACAACTTCTCAAAACAACAACTGCTGGGCGGTGGTGGTGTACATCTTTAATTCCAGCACTCGGGAGGCAGAGGCAGGCAGATCTCGGTGGATTTGAGGCCAGACTGGTCTACAGAGCGAGTTCCAGGACGGGCTCCAAAGCTTCAGAGAAACCCTGTCTTGAAGAAAAAACAACAACAACAGAAACAAACAAAACAGAGAGGGGACTGGCAGCCTGGAGGTGGAGATGGTCTTAGAGCTCAGATCCACAGAAGTGATGTGGATGGAGACAGAGAAGGCGGCATGAGGCCCCCTCCTTCCAGGATCAGCCTCTTTTAGCTCCTCTCTTCACCAGTGCAGCCTCTAGCTCCCTGCAGACAGAAGTGAGGTGGGAACAGACTCCCAGTGCCTGGCATGGGCAACCTGGGATCTGGCCAGCATCTTTCTCTACTGATTCACATATGCCTCTATGTGAACATGGGCTCTAAAAAGCCACTCCTGTCAGTGGTTCTCACTAGGTCTTCCCAGCATTCCCAGGGGCTGGGGGAGAGAGGAGCTAAGCTTAGAAATAGGGCATCAGGGACACTTGTGGGGGTAAAGATGTCACAGTGACATGATGGATGCCAAGGCAGCATGTTGTGGGAAGGGAAGAGAAAAAAATGGATGTGTGGTAGTGCATACCTGTTACTTTGTTCGGTATGAGAGAAAGACTGAGGCAGGAGGATTGCTGTGAGCTTGAAGCTGGCCTGATTGGTCTAGTGTGTTCCAGGATAGCTTGAGGTCCTGTCTCAACACACACACACACACACACACACACACACACACACACACACACACACGTCAATGAGGGAGGGAGAGAAAGATCAAGGGATAAGAGAGAGAGGACTGGATGGAGGGGTTTTCATCCTTGCCTGACCCCAGAGAGACAAGAGCAAGCATCGTTGCGCAGTAACGGGCTGCAGTGCCCAGCCTAACAGGGGCAGGAAGGCTGAGCCAGGAGTCCCTCCTCCTCCTCCTCCTCCTCCTTTTCCTCCTCTTCCTCCTCCTCCTCCCCCCTTGCTTTCTCACCCCAAGCTCCTGACCCGCTCTTATTCTCCTCCCCTCCTCCCCCTGGTGCTCCTCTCCCCATCTCCTTCCCTCTGCCTCCCCTGATCTCCCCCTCTCCTACCTCCTCCCTGTCTTCCTACCACCTCTGCACTCCCATCCCAACTGCACACCCCGTCTCAGAGACAAATTCTCCCTCCTCCCCACCCCTCCTCCTCCTCCTCAGAGGAAGAGGTGACAATCCCTGCGGGAGGAGGTGGCTGCAGAGTGCAGGTGGCGGCTGTGCTGAGCTGAGGGCTTGGAATAGAAACTCAGTGTTCTCTCCTTCAAGTCCTGCTGCTGCTGTCACAGCTGAGTGACCCTGGAGAAGTCATTTTGCCTCTCTGTATCTCAGGGCTAGAGACCACTATCCTTAAGGCAGGGAGGTGATATACATTGGCTCCGGCACATAGTAGGTTCTGTGGGTGGTAGAGTAGATAGCTCTGTCTTCCACCCACCCTTTCCAGGGATTGTCATGGAAAGAATCACCATTAACTAGGTGAGAATTGTGGGATGCTTACAATGTAATGGTAACAGCTAACCTACCCGGCACTGGCAGGGTTGGAGGAACTGGTCCACCAGGTTTGTATTATCTTATTTAAGCCTTAGCACATACCTGGGAGGTGGATGTTATCAGAAGTGTCTTTTTACACAAGTGTCTGGGAGAGGAACAATAGCTTGCCTAACTAATGTCACTCAGCTGCTAGAGTCGGGTGTGAAACCTTGTGCTGGCTCAAGTCCATCTTGTCAGGCTCACTCTGGGACTAGATGATTATTGAGTCATTTTTATTTTTATTTTATTTTGTGTCTTTGAGTCAGGATTTCTCTGTGTGGCTTTAGAGTCTGTCCTGGAATTTACTCTATAGATCTGGCTGGCCTAGAACTCACAGAGATCCACCTGCCTCTGCCTCCCAAGTGCTGGGATTAAAGGCATGCACCATCGCCACCTGACCCAGCTCATTTATTATTTGTTGAAACAGATGCACAAACATGCCGCCATTACAACATGTTTTGCCCTTCAACTCCCATTGCAGAGCAAGACCCAGAATTATGCAGAAGGGCAACTTGGAGCTGGGGTTCCAGCACTGTAGACAGGTATCCGCTCTCTGCAAGCCCATTTAGCAGGGAGCTAGGTGGAGGAGTGCTCCTGTGTGAGTGCATTTGGCGAGCTTTGAAGCTCCCTGGCTCTGATGGACCCCGGCTTTGCCTCCTCCACCCCGCTCCATCTGTTGCCTGGGAATCTGGTTCCGTTCCTGCCTCCGCCTGGCCTTTGCATCTCTCCACACCAAACCCACCTCCGGCTGCCTTCAGAACCCAGCTGGGCACGTTGAAACTTACCTGACATCCCAACACGAGTAAGACCAAAGCACGACTATTTCCAGTTTGAGGTTAGCCTGGACTACATACCCTGGACTACATGTCTCAAAGTGAGTTGAAAGAAAAAGACCGAGGCTGGGAAGATCCCTGGATTCAAAACCCAAATGGGTGAAGAAGGCAAGAACATAGCTGGGACTGTGGCTTGGTTGGTAGCGTGCCTGCCTAGCATGTGTGAAGCCCTGGGTTCAATCCCTAGCTCTGCATAAACCAGGTGTGGTGGCACATGCCTTTAATCCCAGTGTGGAGGGGTTAAATCTTGGAGCCTTAGGAGTTGAAGGTCATCCCCAGGGCTCGAACACAGGTCGTCAAGCTTGGTGGTAGTCACCTTTACTTGAAAGCCGCATTTTTTAATTTTGAACATGTAAAAATACACTTTTATGAGTATCCTTTTCTGGGAAGAGGTTCCTCAAATTTTCAAAGGGGACTCAGAGTTCAAGGTGCCCCAGGCTCATTCCATGCCTCATAATGGTCTGGGACTGTTGGTGGCCAGGTGGTGGCATCAAGCCCAGATCTCTCAATGCTTGCTTGTCACCTTCTTGGTGACTGCTGGGGAGTGGCACCTTCCTCCTTCCCTGGTCCCCACCAGCATCAGTGAGGAGAACGGAGTCTGATGCCAGTCTGAATTGGGAAGGATCTGTGAAGTTCTAAGGTCATGAGCCAGCACCCTATGCATCTACTGTTTTGTGGGCTGTGAGGGTAAAAACCCCAATTCCAAAACATGCAGGGATCCATGGGCTGTACAAATAATCTATTCTTTGGCTTTGGGTGCTTTTCCTCAAGTGTAACTGAGTCTTGAACTGTGGAAACCTTGGAAGGTGATGGGGCTGTGTGCCTGTCTGTGTTGAATGTCATCCATCCATCCATCCATCCATCCATCCATCCATCCATCCATCCATCCACCCACCCACCCACCCATCCATCCCATCCATCCTATTTATTTTTGAGCCTGTGTCTCCTATAGCCCAGACTGGTCTCAAGTCATTTTGTAGCTGAGGGTAGCCTTGAACTTCTGAGCTTGTTTGGATTCCAGACACATATCCCTACACCTAGTGTGTGAGGAGGTAGAAATGGAATCCAGGGCTTCCTGCATGCTAGACAAGCACTCTGTCAGCTGAACTTCATTCTGATGTCCCTATGCAGGAGGGCTGTTTGGAGCTGTCTGCCTGTGTCTGACCCTCCTCAAACTCCGTGTGAAACGCTGCATGGCCCAGGTGTAGTGTGGGACCAGGATCAGGGCTCAGTATACGCCATGCTGGAGGCTCAGCTTTTGACCTTGGACACACAAGGCTCTGCTGGCAGACTGGGTTGTGCTCAGCTTAGTGATGATGTCAGGCTTGGTCCAAGGCCAGTGATGAAACTGGGGTTAGGCCTAGTGCTTCAGCTGGGCATCAGTCAAGGATCAGGGCTCGGTTATTTGATGGTATTCTAGGACTCGGCCTACTATTAGGTTTGAGGCTCAGTCTGTGACTAAGATCAGTCGACTTATGTGGCCTTCCTCTCTACAGGTACCCAGGACCCCCCGCCCAGGAATGGAGTCCGCTGACAGTAGGCGCTTGGCCACCAAGCATAGCAGGAAGGCCTTGAAGGCCAGCCTGACCCTGGGCATCCTGCTGGGCATGTTCTTTGTCACATGGCTGCCCTTCTTTGTGGCCAACATAGCTCAGGTAAAAAAAAAAAATAAATGACATGCCTGGCTGTACTAAGGTGGGAGGGAGGAGGATGGTGCATCCGTGGTAGCTGCATCTGTCCACTCTTGCTGGGTGAGGTAGCCTGGGTTCCTGCTCAGGACCAGGTGCGATGAATCCTATCCCCACAGGCCGTGTGCGACTGCATCTCCCCAGGCCTCTTTGATGTCCTCACGTGGCTCGGGTATTGTAATAGCACCATGAACCCCATCATCTATCCACTCTTCATGCGGGACTTCAAGAGGGCCCTGGGCAGGTTCCTGCCATGCATCCACTGTCCCCCCGAGCACCGGGCCAGCCCTGCTTCCCCCTCCATGTGGACTTCTCACAGTGGTGCAAGACCAGGCCTCAGCCTGCAGCAGGTGCTGCCACTGCCTCTGCCACCGAACTCAGATTCAGATTCGACTTCCGGGGGCGCCTCAGGCCTGCAGCTCACAGCCCAGCTCCTGCTGCCTGGAGAGGCGACCCGGGACCCCCCGCCACCCACCAGGGCCGCCACTGTGGTCAACTTCTTCGTCACAGACTCTGGGGAGCCTGAGATACGGCAGCATCCGCTCAGTTCCCCTACGAACTGACCAGGTCAAGAGTTGGCCAGCGGAGAGCCACATCCCAGAGACCTCAGTCCACGCTCCCTAAGACTGGGAGATGGTAGCCCTCCCGGGAGCCTGCTGAGTCCCATGAGACATCCTCAGCTAGCCCCCATCTGCTGCTACAGGCCCCTTGACATGAGGGGTGATCAGAAACAGCTCTGTGGTTTGTGCGGTGTGGCTGGGGGACTCAGGGAGATGGGCCACTTGGTTCAGGCCAGCAGGAAAGCGAACAATTCTTAGTCCTTTCTCTCTTGGAGGGTGGGAAGAACACCCATCTAGACACCCACCCTGGTTCTTGTCTGGCCCAATCCCCTGCACCCAAAGTGCCATCCATGGGATATTGGGGTTCTCATAGGCCCTGGGGAATTTACTCAAAGTGCCCACCCTCTCCACTGAAGACGTGTTCAGTCAAAATTGTATGTTCATGAACTTTTCCACATATGTATTAGCTGGACACTTCAGACCAGCCAGCCCCTAGGATGGGAATTGCAACACTAAAGAGCACCTTAGGCTGGAAGCCAGGCAGCCAGAAACATGACTCTTTCCTCAACTATATATAGCAGTTTGGGGCCTTGGCACAGGTCTCAAGGAAGAGTAAAGATGCCTCCTTATAAGAGAACATAAATGGTGTGCCCAGCACTTGTGAGGGGCCAGTAGGTGGTACATTCTGTTGTTTTAATTCCTGGCCAGCCAGGGCCTTGCTCTGGCAGAAGGGTATTAAGCGCCCCTCCCTCTCTCCCCTCCTTTCTTCCTTCCCTCTCTTCTCTCTCCTTACTTCACTTTTATTTTTTCTAGGATCTCATGTAGCCCAGGATCCTCAAGTTGCCACACGCATCTCTGTGTGGCCGAGGATGACTTTGAACTTCTGATCCTCTTGCCTCTACCTCCCAAGTGCTGGGATCACAGGCATGTAGTACACATCAGATTTATGTGGTGCTGGGTGGGACCTCAGGGCTTCATGAGTTCTAGAAAGCAATCTGTCAGCTGAGTTATGTCCCCAGCACCCCCTTTTCTCTGTGAGGACAGCTTTGCACATGCTAGGCAAGGGCTCTCCATTGAGCTACACCTCAGCCCCACTGTTCTTTCCCAACCTAGATTCCCATACCCCAAATCAGGCTCCCAGACTCTTCTTTCTGGTGGGTGGAGGACCCCACCACTCAGGGACCCTTCCAGCCCCATCTGCTGTTCTGCCTCTAGGGGCTGCTGACAGATCTTGTGCAACCTCAAGGGTGGGTTTCCTCCACCCCAGGCTTCCCAGAGAGGAAGCAGCTGATAGAAGCGGGCCCAGTTCCTCATCCTGCTTCCTTTGGATCTCCCTAGGGTCGCTGAAAGAAAAGACAGCTGCTTGGGTGGGCAGAGCACAGTAGAAGAGGAAATGTCCCTGGCTTGGGGGTGAAGCCACAGACAAGCAGGTGGGCTCCGGCTTTGGCCTGGCTTTTGTGGGTAAGGGCGGGGACTCTTGGCTCCAAGCTTCTCTGAGCCGAGTTCCTCCTCAGCCCCAGGTCTTGTAGCCCTCGTGTTCCATCAACCAGGCTCCCAGGCTCGTCCAGAGCGGCCAGGAGCTCTCCTTGGTGCTGATCACACTCAACTGGGCCCTGGCAGCAGGGTTTCGGTGCTTGCCAGGGTTCCTTTGCCCCAGGGCCTGCCTGAGGGACTCAATAAACAGAAGCTGAAGGAAGTGACTCTGTGTGGACAGTGTCTTATTGAAGCCCCGGCGGGTTGGAGAGCAGCTGAGTAAAAGACTCCACCCAAGTGTCCTGGGCTCTGATCCGACTCTGTCCCCAGCTTACTTTGTGACAGCGCCCTCCCCCAAACAAATCACTGTCACTTTTCCACATGGGCACAGCGGCTTGTCCTAAAAACAACATGAGTTGGGTAGATGTCTGTAAAATGAATACGTGACGCACATTGCAGAGGCGTCCAGTGTGGGAATACTATAACACCCGCAGCCTTGGAGGGGTCTTCCTTGTCCATGGGTCACTTCTGTCTCTGCCATCCAGAGGTACTCATGGAAGCAGATGCAGGGCCTTAGAACTGGGGTCTGAAGTTCCACTGGCCAGACTTCATTGTGACGGAGTCACTATGAGTTGTGTGGCCTTCAACAGCTTTCCTAATTACACAGAGGCTCCGTTTCCCCAGTATAAAGTAAAAGGTGGTCACGAAGGTCAGGGGAAAAGCCTTTGGTATTTATTGGTCCCTCTCTGGTGATCCACATATATCACCAGCCCACTTTCTCTCTATGCCAATGGAATTCTGCCTTTAGTCCTCTTGCTACGGTTCCATCCAGGGCCACCATGTTTCACAAGTTCGTATCATACCTATGTCTCAGTTACTCCTGAAGTTATGCCGCGCACACGGCCCGCACACCTGTGCCAGAGAGAGCTGATCAGACCTCCCAAGAAGAGCAGAGGGAGGAAACTGCCTCGTTGGCACCTGAGAAGGCCCCACTGGTAGGGCCTGGGGCTGGTGGGCAGCCCTGGAGAGTTGGTAAAAGATCATGAAGACACTTGGTTCCACTGAAGTTGGAGAAAGGGGACAGGGCGGGGGGAACCTCCAGTTCCACAGCGACTCCTGGGCCTCTGGATGGGACCTAGAGGGCGGGAGCCTACACTGGCCTGGAGCTGGGTTGATGCTGTAAGTCACATGGCCAGTGTTCCCTCAGGGAGCAAGTGTTTTCTCCATGGCTCTCCATTCTAGACCCTTCCTATTTAAGGAAGGTGCTTATGGAAATTCCACACCACCAGAGCATTCTGAGGAGCTCAGAGGTGTTAGAGAAAATTGCATACAGAAGTCTGGAGAGATAGTCCAGGCTCCTGCTGGGGTCAATCCAGTTCTGCACAGGACTCTTGGGTCCCTGGTGTGCAGTCAGGGCAGCCCAGTGGGTTAGAACTCACACCATGGCTGCAGATCAGGGGTCCTTCTGCTGGACTGGCAGCAGCAGGGAGCAAGGCCTCTGTGGATTGGTCCAGCTCTGCTGGCATCTGGGCTTGCCTGACACTGGAAGGTATGGTGGTTTTGAGACTGTCTCCTGGGCCAGGTCCCTGGGTTTGCCCATCCTGGTGGAGTGCCTCATCTGTGGAGACTGTGACTGTCTGGAGAGGCTCTTCTTGGGGCAGACTGCCAGGAGCCAGTGGGAAACCCTTCTCACCCCAGCCTGGCTTGGTACGGATGCCCACAGCCTTCAGGATGACATCCATTTGCTTGGCATAGTCCAAGTGCCCGTTGACCTGCAGGGAGACCACGAGTGAGGACCATGGTGGGTAGGTGGGCAGGATGGTTGGTAGGTAGACAGGGCAATTCCTTGGGATCCATGCTAAGCTCCACCCTCAGGGGCAGTTATTCAGCAACCCAGGGTCCCAATTATCAATGATCTTCAAGTCTAGAGTACACTGGGGGTAGGGGGAAGGGGCTCTGGGATCTGAGCTAGGGAAAGTTGAAGAAACCTTTTCCAATTATGTGGGTCCTCTGGGCAGAGAGGCCCATCCTGATGGCTAGCAGGCAGGGGAGGGGCTCAGTATTTGCTCTCCAGGAGCTGTTGGATCTTGGGTGGCCTTTGTGCCCCGAGCATTAGGAGTAGCTTCCCCATAGGGTGGCTAGGAGGGTTTCCCCAGAAAAAAAATCCCAAGTTGGAAATAAGTTCTGTAACAGCCCGTAAGGTTTTGTTCCTTCACTGTTCACTGATTTCCATCACTCCTAACTTAGCCTGGTTCCCCTCCTAGGAACTCCCCACTTGCCCTCCTTATTGTGTGCTGAAAAAAACCTCAAAACAACAGTGTTGAGAAGAAGGACCTTGGGAAGATGGGTGGGAGCCCAGGCCTCTGCCTCTGGCTTGACAGAGATGTCATCCCGAGGGCAGATTTGTTACAAGGTCAGCTTGCCCCTCCACCAGGGGATGATGCAGTCAGAGGCTGCCACCAGATGCCAGCACCACAGCCTGGATGCCAGTTGTCACTATTAAAAGTTGAGTAACTTTCTGTTCGTCCCAGGCTTTCACTTAAAACAGTCCAGAGGGACCAAGAAGAGAGGAAGCAGCACTATTTCCCATGCTTCTTAGAGAATGAGTGCCTTTTCTTATCCTATCCTTGTGTGTGTGTGTGTGTGTGTGTGTGTGTGTGTGTGTGTGTGTGTGTGTGTGTGTAGGCCAAAGGTCAGGTGTTTTCCTCAATCTCTCTCCACTTTATTTTTTGGAGACGGTCTCTCACTGACCCGGGAGCACATCTAGACTGTCTGTCCAGCAAGTTTCGGAGACACTCCAGTCTCTGTGCTGCCCCCCCATCACAGTTCTGGAGACCCTCACTCAGACCCTCACTCTTTGCTGACTGAGCCATGTCCCCAGTCCCCAAGGCATCTTATGGAGATGTTTCCCAGTCTGGGTCAGTGCTAATCCATTTCAATGGGATGTGAGAAGTACTCACTAATGCAAATCGCAGCACACTGTGCCTGGAGCTTAGTAGGTGCTGCATAAATATGTGTTCTCTGACTTTAGTTTGCCTCAAAGAGGAGATGAAGATGAGGAGTTAGCTGGACTGATCTGTTTGGGAGCCCAAGGCAGCTGCTTAAGCTCTAGCTATTACATCTAAATTCCAGCCAACAGACACTTCAGGCCCAGGGACAAACGCTAACCAGTTCTCTATAGAAATAAGAGCTGCTTCTCTGAGCCTTTTGGATCCTGGGAAAGGACTGGTGCCAGGGTTGTGTGGGAACAGGCAGCCGGGAAGGGCAGTGTCATCGTCATCTGACTTTAGGTGGCCATCACATCTACAGCCTCCTCTGCCACAGGCTGGTCCAGGTCTTGGCCATGCACAGTCAGTCCCCCAGTTGCTTTTCTAAGGAGACCCGAGATGGAGTCATTGTTGCTGGCAGTCCGTGTTTATAGTCTGCAGCCGGAGGGCCTCACAAGGGCAAGGTGGGTCAGTGGTGTGTGGACACAGCTGATGTTTACTCAAGCTTTTAGCTCATGACCATTTCCCCAGCTGTCCCACCAAGCCCTGCCCACTGCTCTGCACAGCCAGACATCACTAATGCAAAGCAGGAGACCATGTGGACTCAGGCATGCTGGCAGGGCTGCAAATTGTTGATGAGGGTTAGGAAGGCAGGTGGCACAAGCGTGTGGAAGTAGCTCACATGAAGTGGGCTCTGAGCGTGATGCCCAGGCCCTGGCTCCTCCCTCCCCCTTTGCTGTCAATCTCCCTGCCCTGGCAGACTAAACCCTGCCTAAACCATGAGTGCAAATAAACCCCCACTTCAGTTATTTCCACCAAGGGGCATGGTTGCATGGGACTCAGAAAGTCACTAACACACTCATGTTTGTCATACGCCATGGCCTCAGTTTCCACATCTGAATGATGGATCAGTATGTTTTCTGGGAACTTTTGCAGGGTCACCTGATTCACAGTGGCTGTTGTCACTGATGATGGTACTGTTACTAACTGTTGGACTCTGTGGTTGGCCCTTTGTTAAGTTCTAGAAACCAAGTACATCCTCTGAGACATGGAGAGGTTTGTCCTGGACCAGGGCTTCCTGAAGGATAGCTTCAGACAGTGAGTGAGCCCCGTGGTGGTAAAATCCTCCACCTGCTGCAGCCCAGAGAGGCGTCCTAGCCGGGATCCCTTTATCCCCACAGTCCTGACGTCCCCAGAGAAGGTCCCTGCCTGCCACAGGGAAGAGGGATGGGACAGGCCTGTAGTTGCTGGTGCAAAGGGAGCTGCCAAGCAAGTCCTACCAAGGGAGCCCAGCCAGCCCCTCCTCCAGCAGCGGGCTGCCAAGGAAAGCTAGGGACACAAAGGCAATGCTAATTGCCTCTAATTAGTCAGAGGAGGAAAGCACCGCTTTGCTGAGGCCCCTAATGTGATAAAGAGCTATTATTAGGCAGGAGCTGAGCCAAAGCCAAGGTGTTTGAGGAGGGAGAGGTCTGTGAATAGCTAGCCTCCAAACTGAAGAAGTGAAGCCAGTGTGGAACCAGAAGAGGAGGGGGCTAGTGTAGGAGCATTCATGAGTTCAGGGCCCTGGCCCCTGCATCTCAAGGAGACTCCCCACAGGATGGGCCCACTGCTGGGTTATGTTCTGCTTGGTCAGCACCAGGGTCCACGGCTTTGAGTCTAGCGGATGTCCTGAACCTGAGTCCCCTGTTTGCTTTGCTTTTTGCTGGGCTGGGGGGGGGCAGGCAGCCCTGACTGGTGATCTGGTTTTTGGTGCAGGGGTGGGGGAGGGTAGGGTGGTAATGTGAAGGCTCCAGGGGTTTGGATCCAGCCCTACGAATTGCTAGTCGGGAGACAGGGATTCTCCTAAGCTTTGATGTCCTTGTCTGGAAATGGGACACAACAGTTTCTGCCTGGCAGCAGCTTGAGGATTACAGCCAAGGGGGAAAGACTGGCCTGGAGCCCAGAGGAGGCAGGTACATGCAGGTACTATCTCCAAGTGCTGCAGTGACCTGGCGTCCCCCATACACAGGCCAATGGGGAGCCCTTGGAGGGAGAGACCAGTACTCACCACTGAGGACAGGTCCACATTCTCCATCCTCCGGTCCTGCAGCAGCACCGGCTGGAGGCCTGCGACCCGGAGCTGCACGGAGGAAGTGCGGTACACGAAGCTCAGCAACCAGTCTCCCCTGCAGGCAGAAACAGGCACCATCGGCTTGAGCCCGGGCAGGTTGGGCCTCTGACCCCTGGGCGACTGAGCAACTGGGCACAGTTGGACACTGTGTAGCCTGGGTTGGCCTCAAGCCCACAATCCTCCCACCTCAACCTCCAGATTTTGGGATGGCATGTGGACCCCAGAGGGGGCTCCTAGATGCTCTGACCTGCAGCTGGTGACTCCTCCTTCCTCCTCCTGAGACAAATCCCTTCAAATCCCACCGTGTGCTCTTTTCCTGCAGGCTCATCTATCACAGGCCCTCTATTGTCTGTTCCTCTGCCTTCAGTTGTCACCCAGAGCCTCTGGCTCACTGCCCCTCCAGATCTGACTTACGAGCCCTGCGTGGCCTTAGAGTGTGGGCTGTGTACTTTGGCTCAAACCTGTAGCCACTTCCCCCATGTCCTTCTCATGTATGTATGTATGTATGTATTCTATATGCATACATATTTTCTTTACATTGTAATATTGGGTCCCTGGGGCCTGCGCAAGCACTCTGCTCGGTTGTCAGGGTATTTGCCTAGCATGCACAAATCCTGCTTCTGATCCTCAGCATCGCGTCATCGGTGGTGCATGTCTGTGCATCACAACACTGGGAATGGTGGAGGCAGGAGGACTCTTGGCTATCTAGAGAGTTCAAAGCCAGCCTGAGCTATGTGAGAGCCTGCCTCAAAAAGATAATGGTCACCTTCCTGCCCTTGATTTTTGAGCTTAGAATATCACCTTCTCCAGGTGACTTGGTCATCATCCTATGTTTTCATTGCAGGTCCCCTATTCAAAACTCCTGGGACCTGTGGTGGGGTTCAGAATTCTTGAGGCTTGGGAATTTTACAGCTAACCAGCCTGTAGCCTGTGCAATACAAGTTATTCTTGCAAGCTTAGGGTGGGGCTGCTTTCTGGGGGCTTGAGGTTACTGCTCAGGATGAAGTTCTGAGGGCCTCTCCTCAGGCTCAAACAGGGCTGCTACCCAAGTCTGCCCCCAGGTCCTCCGGCTTGCCAGAGGGCCTGTTGCCCAGGGTGCTGGCTCTCTGCATTGACAGCTGCTTCTGCTGTCTTCCCGCCCCTGCTCAGAAATCGTGTTCCCAAAGCGGAGCCAGACACCTCCACTGCCAATGGCGCACACGTGCATGCCTCAGCCCCAAAGGGCTCCCATCTGGGTCTCTCGTGTGCTTCAGTCTCAGTGCGACCCCCATGCTCCCCCCCCATGATCTGCAGAGTCATCCTAGGGCCTGACACAAGGGTGAATCCTGCAAGACCCTGTCAATGGCCATCCTGAAGGGTGGGATGGCCTCCCAGGTCTGAACTCCCGGTCCTGGCTGCAGTGATAACAGCCAGTGGCCAGCTTCTGGAATCTTCTAGCATAGAGGCTTCTAGTGTTCAGCGAGGCTATGGGAGGGTACTAGGTCCTCAGAAAATATTGTTTCCTCCCCAATGGCATGAGGCTCAGACAGACCTGCAGTAGCCATTGACGATTCTTCCAGACACCACCTTCTGGAACGGTTCCCAGTACTTGGGGTCCCCTTCTACCGGTGCACCCAGAAGGACCACATCCTCGATGATCCCTTGGCAATCTGGTGAGAGAGCCCAGCAGAGCCTGTCAGTGTTCCATGTCACAGTGGGTCCTGGTGGGGCGGGGTAGGGTGGTGTGTGGATGGGAGGGGATGCGGAAAGGTGGAGGGTGGCAGGGGACTTGATAATGATAAAGGCAATCATCGTTGCACATATATACATGCACACTTACATATGGATACACACATGAAGCATTTACCTATGTTGTTCTATTATTAATAAAAACTTGGGAGCCAGATATCAGGGTAAAAACTCGATAGATCCAAAGAGCAATGAAGGGATGATCAGCTGACCCCACTCTCCACACTTCCCAGATTGAAAGGGCTGAGAATTTGCTGAACCCCTCACTATATCTCCCTCAGCTTCCCTATGTGGGTCCTCCAAAATTTCTACGGCTAATTCCCGTCGGCCAGTTTCTGACTCCATCCCCTGATTCAAGGCAAACTTAATTAACAATCTTGGAGTGTCAGTAAGAACAAATATCCCAACACACACACACACACACACACACACACACACACACACACACACACACACACACACACACGGCAATGGGTTCCAGGTGGTGAGTCAGACTCATACATGCCTGATCATTCCTGTAAAATGTCACTGTCACAGTTAAGGTAAACATTTGCACAGTCACACAGACAGCAAGTAACACGGCTCAAGTTGGAACCAGGGCATCTTTCCATTATCCAAAAGCTCACGCCCACTGAGACCATTGATGGCCTGTCATCTCTCTCATTCTGAAACCTTCCCTTGGAAGATGGGGAAATGGGCTCAGAGAGAAGATGGCACCAGCCCAAGGCCACAAAGCCAGAGAGAATCCAGCATGTGCTACAACTCAGAGTACCTGGATAGCTGTGAGGTCCCTAGACCGTTCTCTCTTCTGATGCAGTAACTGAGAGTGTCAACTGTGTGATCTCTGGTCACCATTGGGCCAGGACCTCTGGGGTCACCATTCGGGTGCCTCCTTTGCCCAAGGGAATTCCATCTCCCTAGAGTGGCCTTTCTGCCATGGGACAGCTGGTGGAGTGCTACACCTCCTTGTGGCCAACAAGGACAATAGCAGGATTTCTGAGCAACTGTTAGATCCAGGGAGAGCCACAGAGAAAAGCCTAAAAAGGCAACTGCTTTGACCTTGAACCAAGACTTGAACTGCTTTGACCTTGAACCAAGACTTGCCCCTGACCCTCCTGTGGCAGCCCAGAGTTGACTTAAACAAGGTTGAGTTGGACATGCGTTTCACTGATGCTCTGTATCCACTCCTGAAGCCCAGTCGGCAGCTGTCTCACAAACTCCTTCTCTCTACTCTCTGATAAGTTTGCATTCAAAAGATTTGCTCTCTGCATGGGAGTAAAACGTGGACACAAGCTACAAGACAGGTTCTTAGCAACACACAGACATTGGCTAAGGAAAGCTGGCAAGAACCACCACCGTGGAATCCTGGACGGGAGGTCAGAGGCCATTACCCACCCTCTGAAGGTTCCAGAAGTGAAAAGGACAGGCGGAGGAGGCAGCGTTGGGAAAAAGGGCTGTGGGAAAGGCACAGCATCAATCTACTGTTTGAATCTGGGCATGGTGTCACACGTCTGTGATCCCAGCACTGCCGAGGTGGAGGTGGGAGGGGCAAGAGTTCGAGGCCATCCTCTGGTATATAGCAAGTTCAAGGCCAGCCCAGAATATAATCAATTAGCCCATCCCTTAAAATAATTTAGGCTTTCCAGGCAAGGTACAGAAACATCCCTATGAGTGGTTGGGATCATCATTCAGGGTTAATGTGCTTGTGTAGCCTGTGCAAGGTCCTGTGTTCCTGTCTCTGCACTGGAAAAAATCGTTATCAGGTTGCACCTTCAGTGTCTAGCAGCCCCTCATAAGGACACGTGATCTGTGGGTCAGGAGGTGCAGACAGTACAGAATGCATCCACTTTTCAAAATCAAAGGCTCAGTAGGTAAAAAGTGCCTGATTTGATCCCAGGAACCCACATGGTAGAGGGAGAGACCAAGTCAAATTGTCTTCTCATCTCCACATGGGAACAGAGGCATGCATGTTTGCATATATGCTCGCACACATCCTCCCCACAGACACACACACCAAACCCAGACATACATACATAACACACACATCCATACACAACACATACAAACCCACACCCCTATACACATACAACACACATACATATACACATATATACACAACATACATACACCACACACATACATATATACATATATACACAACATACACACATATATACACAGCACACACAAACTCACATCCCCCCACATACACATATACAACACAAACAACATCTACACACAACACACATACATACACAACACACACATATACACACATATACAACACACAAACACAGCCCACACATACAACCCCCCCTACATACACAACATACACACACATAATACACCCACACACATATATACACAGCACACACACTTACATATACAACACACATACACAACCCCCAAACACAAAGTAAATAAATGTAAAAAAATAAAGACGTCAGAGATGAGCATTTAATGGCCCTGGTGTTCTTTTGCTGTGGGGACAGTGTCTGCTAAAAGTCATTGTCTGGTTCAGACTTCCCCTCCTGTGACAGTCTGAGGTATTGGCTACAGACCTACAGGGCTGAGGACGCTAAGCATGTGCCTTCCACCCTCCCGCCCCCACACAAGCTTATAAAAATCCATGCTCTTGAAGAAAAGGGTGACTTCAAGTTCAGAAGTCACAGACACGGGCAGCTTTTGTGCTTGGGCTTCTCATTTTTGCAACATCTCCTTAGATCTTGTTCTTATTCTGCTGTCACCATGGGGGTGGGCGGCCCTTCAATCCTGCTATAACTTTGGCAGTAAGGAGGCGTCATGCCGCCCCTGGAAAAGGAAAGCCTGTCAGTCAGGCCTTCACCCTCATTCTCGGGACTTCCTGTGGTCCCAGGTCTGGGCAGGCAGCTTCCCTTCCACTTCTCTTTCTGTGTTCACCAATTCTGTTACTCTAGCCCAGGAGCCATGCATTAGAGATGGAAGCCAATGCTGAGGATGCGGCTGGCTTCCACGCCCAGCATCGGATGAACTGGGCGTGCTGGCGGGATGTCTGTGATCCCAGCATCTGAGAGGCAGAGGCAAGAGGATCAGAAGTTCAAGGCTGTCGAGGTCGGAATGAGAATGGCCCCCATGGGCTCATATATTTGAATGTTTGGTCCCCCGTTGGTGGACTGTGTAGGAAGGACTGGTTAGGAGTTAGGCCTCGTTGGAGAAGGTGTGTCACTGGAGGTTGGCTTCCAGGCTCCTGGCTCTCTGCCTGCTGCCTGCAGGTCAGGATGTAGCTCTCAGCTACTTCTCCAGTACCATGCCGGCCTGCATGCTGCCATGCTCCCCACCATGATGATCATGGACTGAACCTCTAAGACTGCAGGCAAGCCCCCAATTAAATGCTTACTTTAGTAAGTTGTCCTGGTCATGGTGTCCCCTCACAGCAATGAAACACCAACTAACACAAAGGTCATCCTTGGCTATATTGCTAGTTCTAGGCCAGCCTGGGATACATGAAGTCCTAACTCCAAAACAAAGCAAAACAAAACCCCAACAAAGTGATTGGAGAATGCTAATTGCTGACAGGGCATAGAAGAGTATTTAACTGTTATTCATAAATCTCCTAAAATATTTTTATTTAAGTGTTTTGTATGTGAACATATACAAGAGTTGTCTGTATAGGTGCCCTTGGAAACTAGAAGGGTGTTCACTGGATCCCATGGAGTTATAGACAGTTGTGAGTTGCCTGATGTGGGTGCTGGGAACTGAACTTGGATCCTCTACCTTAACCAGCACCTCTCTGTGTGTGTGTGTGTGTGTGTGTGTGTGTGTGTGTGTCTTTGGAGACTGTCCTGGAACTAGCTCTTGTAGATCAGGCTGGTCTCGAACTCACAGAGATCCGCCTGCTTCTGCCTCCCGAGTTCTGGGATTAAAGGTGTGCGCCACCAATGCCCAGCTTCTTCCTTCACTTTTGCCAGCATTTTGCAATCAGTTCACGCCCCCAAGTCCCCCCCCCGACTGCTGGGATGGCACTTTCATCACTTGGCACTCCTAGAAGTCTAGAGGTGGCTGGCTTCAGTTTTTCCAAAACCCATCCAGGACCCAGAAGGGACACCCTTTTCCCAGTGATGTCCTTGAAAACTATGTATGCATAAATTCTAAAACCAAACTTTTAAAGAAGGTGTCACAGGGGGCCAGCTTCACCCATGGAAAGCGCTATGGCTGCTCTGACCTCCGTGAGTCTCCCTGTTCCCACAGCGGGCCTTGTTAAAGGGAAACCAATGAGCTCATGGAGCTTTTGGTGTCTCCCCAAATGGCCAGGGAGGCACAAGCGCACTCCCACATGCCCGGCACGTTGCCAGTAATGAGACTTTCTCAGCTGGAAAGCCCAGAGCATCTCAAGTCAGACCTACAAAGTGGATGGATCCTCTCCCTCCCGCCAGGGGTTCATGTGTGCAGAAAGTGATAAGGTGGGAATGGGGGGGGGGCGTCGTCGTCTGCCGGCTGGGGATTTGCAAGAAAGGCCTTGGAGATGATCTGAGCTGTGTCTAACACAAGTCAAGTCCATTGAAAAGATGCTCACACATGCTCCACAGAGGAAGCAGAAACTACAAAGCGAGAGAGATGAGTTGGGAGAAGCCGTGCTCTGACCACAGTGTTGCCCCCATGGGAAGCTCACACCGGTGGGCGGGACACCGTCTAGAGGAACCTGTTCTGCCTACTGATGAGGATTTGGGACGGATTCTTCAAGGGGACCACTAAGCTTTCATTTCTGTTCTCTGATGCCACACAGGGTGAGACAGCTATGACTGCACCCCAGGAACCTCAAAATCAATCTGCTTCACCTGGCTTCTCCTGGCTGCTCCCCAGGCAGGCTGAGGTTAGGTTTGACTCCGTTCAAGCAACTGGTGGGTACAGTTTCAGGGCTGGGAAATAAATCGCATCAAATTCC